GTTGGGGGTATGGGGGTGGCGGGTATGGGGGTGGCGGGTGTGTGAACCGTCCCCTCCTCCTCCTCCTCCGTCTCCCACTGCTGCAGCTTCCGCTGAGGGGGGTGGGTGTGTGGGAGCCGAAGGAGTGGTGCTAGGGGGGTGTCGTGTGAGTGAAGCTAGGGGTGCAGCAGGGGGTGTGAACGGGAGTTTTGGGACAAAGGGGGAGGTTGAAGGGGGGTGGCCGTCGTGAAGCCAGCAACTCCAGTCGCCCGTGAGACCGTTGCGCCAGTCGCCCGTGAGCCCGTCGCTCCAGTCGCCCGTGAGCCCGTTGCTCCAGTCGCCCGAGAGTCAGTTGCTCCTGCCGCTCGTCTAGCCGCGGAGCCAGTTACTCCAGTTGCCCGTGTGCCAGTTGCTCCAGTTGCCAGTGTGCCAGTTGCTCCAGTTGCCCGTGTGCCAGTTGCTCCAGTTGTGCCTTGTGCCAGCAGCTTCAGCTGCCGCCCACTACCTCCTCTCCTCTCATAGTTCCTCCTCCTCCTCACTTGCCCTCTATGATAGCCTCTAGCTTTGCTTATATTTGTGAACTATAAACTACTGCTTGTTGTGCTGATCATACCCCACTTTGACTATGGGGGTGTGTCAGAATGTGTAGTTTGTCTAGCCTGCAGTGGGGTACTCTATAGTGAGTACGGCCCCTTAGGGTTTCCTATATGTATCCACCTGCTTGCTAGTGCAACCCCTCCCTTTTGCCTATTTTCTCTTGCCTAGCTAGCTAAACCCTAGCTATGGCTCTTCGTTCTGCCCACTCTTCTGACAACAATGTGCAGGAATAGGTGCCATGTCCTTCAACATGGCTGGTGCGATGAGTATGCGTGTGCGGAAAACACCCGGACGAGTTTCAAAATCGTCACCCTGTTGTACTCTATTATTTCCTTTCGCTTTGTGTGGCGTGCTAACTTCTCAGATGCCCATGCACGAGCAGGGCAGGGGAGTGTTGAGGTGAAGCCCTGCATGCGCCGGGTTTCGCGTGTAGCAGCCTTATGCGAAGTAGCGAGGTTTCGCATACCGCAAACCGGGGCTTCGGTATTTGCCGAGTACACTCCAATAGTGCACTGTTCAACACTAAACCGAAATGGAGGGAAGTGACGACATTGAACAAACGAGTTTGTGCAGCTGTATGTTGCGAGCACCTGCGCAACTACTCCTGGTCAGGTAGAAAATGCACATGACAGTATTTTCATCTGATGTCGTTTTCACCTTGCGGTGCCAACTTGGAACCGCATACAGGAGTAGGTGCTTGCACGTTCTTCTTGAACAACGTTCGTCATGAACAAAGTTCCCATAGAACATTCTTGCACGTCGCTATGCTTCTCTATAAGGTTCATGTTGTATCTGTTGTAATCTATCAATTAATCAATTACTTTCCTTTCGTTTCTGGATACCAAGCCTGTTGCTGCATACCAAGCATACTGTTCTCTGAATAGCAGTATCCGGTTTCCAGCAAGTTCGTCTACGTAAAACTCGAGCTTCACTCTCTGATCTTGCAACTCTGTACCTAGGCTCTCCCACAATCGCCTATTCTCCGCAGATGGTGTACTATTTAAAGAGTAACCCAACCTCCCCTAGAATATGCAACACATTTAACTCGTTAGCTAGCGCCACGCGAGCGCCGGTGGGTGACGAGTTTAGCGACAGTGGAGAACGTAAGGATATCTGGAAAGGGGAATGGCAAAACGAGACGCCTTAGAGTAGCAGAGGAGGGGGTGGAATAGCTAGCAACAAGAGCGTCGAAGCACTGCTTCGCAACGCGCGCAATAACGCCGCGCGACACCCGCAGTGTGCATGTAAGCTGGGCGTTGCGGTGTGCCTTTTGTGCCTCCGCAACAGCATCAGTTGCAAGAGCAGTAGGACATGTGGGGACAGATAGCTCACCCAATGTGTGGGCATACATAGGAACATCATCGTCAAGCTGGCTCCAAATTTGGAGCTTGACGTCGAACAACCACGTGGCAAAGTTGACCGCCCGCCCCTCCACATAGAGTGCAGATCATACTTGGTCACCATAGCAGGTTGGAGAAGGGGCACATCTATAGTAGATAAAAGGAGACTTGCTACAGTTGGACGGGTAAAAAGGCACAGGTAGACTCTAAACCACAACTGCTGGAACGGCAAAGGGCACGACCGATAGGCGCAACCGCAGACTTAGCGGCAGGTGCTACGACAGGCGCAGAGCAATTACGATGAGTAGCGGCACGGGTGCGGCCGGCACAGATAGCATCGGAACTGGTGCGAAAGACACAATGGCAGGCACGAGCGTAGGCACCACGGGCAGCAGCGGCTAGAGTGCATCGAGCATGGGCATGGCAGACATGGCAGCAGCCGGTATTGGAGGAGGGTGGCTGGCGCAAGCTGGCGCGGCTGGCACGAGGTGTGGGCTTGCGGGGCTAGCGTGGGCTGGCGAGGCGCGGGTTGGCGCGGTTGGCGCCGGCTGGCCCAGCTGGCGTGGGCTAACACGAACAGACGCGGCTGGCGCGGCTAACGTGGGCGAGCGCGGCTGACGAGGGCAAGCATGGCTTGCACGGGCTGGCCGTGGCGTGGCTTGGGAGAGTGCGGGTGTGGCAGGTGCTACGTACGGAAGGGGCTTGAGGGGCGCGGACACTAATGGCGCTACTGGTGTGAACGAGGAGTATAATGGAGCTAAGAGCTAGGTGTGGGTCGACGGCGCAGAAGTGTGTGACCTAAACCTGACTGACTAGAATAAGGGCATACTGGTTGGATATTTACAAATCCGTATCCTTTATAGCAAAGCCCATTCTAGCCCACAAGAACATATGCAATTATGTCAATGTTTAGTTCGACAGAAAGTTGGTAGGGGCATGTTTGTACGGCCTCTTATCAGGTCTTTTGTTAGGTGTTCACATAAACCCTGCATTTTGTGAGGCACACCGATGATTTTTATACTAGAGCCGTATGTTTTTTTTAATGGTTGCTTTGTATTTTCTCCATGGATTGGCATAACATAATAAAAAAATCCCTGATAAAATGTACCATGCCTATCTCCTTGACCCACATATGCAGTTTGAATGCTGTGGATGAATTCGCTTCCAGGGTGGTTTTATTACGTATTTTGTTCCAAAAGCATATTTATCATATGGTTCTCTGCAGTTATCGAATTTGCATTCCAGCGCAGTTACTGTTTTCCCTATGACTCCGAGCAAGTCATGTGTCATACATGCTGTTGTTGCAGGCCAGCTCTGAAATTGCTGACCGACACTGGTTACAACTCGAATGACCCACATTCATTGGTCGATGCCCCCCTGACAGCGCAGCATTACTGACAATGGGTGGGAGGTGTGGGAACTGGTGAGGGAAATCTTTTGGCTTACAGGAACTCAACTGCTTCGTGGCGAAGTGAGTGTACACTAGTACGAGTAGCCATATATGGAAGTAAAAGTTCTGTTTATCTGCCCTACACAAAAGAGCTGCTGACCTTGACTTGATGCCTCCATCCAAATCCATGCCTCAGACAATTTCAACCCAACCAACAACCCATTTGTTGGTGTTTTTGCTGGGCTCAGCTCACGTCGAGTTCGTGCAGTTTGAGAAGCGGGGCACCTCGTCCACGCGCTCCCATGAAAACCGAGTGAGAGGGAAAACACATTTCGAAGGCTAGCTGGACGGCAACGTTCCCTACCCCTCTCATTCCTCCATTTGGTCGCAAAAACACCCCGCAGCTGAAATAAGTAAATTTCACATCTGCCCGGGCTTATGGTAACAAAAATTTCAGGTCGTGTCGCACGATCACGAATCGCCATCGCTTTCCTTGTTTGGCGGGCTGCGACTGCGGCACACCGTCGCAGGCGATGATATCTTTTCAGCGCGAAGCTCAATCCGCCCCTCTCGCAAGCCTGCGCATCCACTCCACACCAAAAGAAATGAGGCGGTTCGGAGAGCTCCCCGTGCCGCGACTGGAATTTCATTGCATGGGTGCGCGCAGTGATCGTTGGATGTGTGTTCCTGCAGGGCAGCCCTAATCATCCATCCCTCCATCCGTTCTTCCCTGCCACTGCTCCCACCACAAACAGCCTTCGCTGACGCGCAAGGGCGCGAGAAACAAGCGGAGAAAATAACCAGCGAGAGCCAGCCGGAACCAGGAAGAGCAGATGCAATGCCCTCAGCCTCCCATTCCATGAGATACGGAGGGCCATCTCAACTGAAGGCGGGCATATTTACGAGCGCGCACTGCGCCTTCGCAAATTCTAGCTGTTAAATCTCCACTTTTGAGTGCGAGGGAGAGTCGTGCCGTCGTCTCGGTCGCCTCGAATCTCAAGCACAAACCTTTCGTTTTTTTTTGCCGTTCGCCATCTCGTCGTCACCCATCCATTTCTCCAAATCTTCTCCAATCACAGCTTCAACCAAAATGTCGGTCTAACGGCTCTCAACGGGTTCCTCCTAAGCAACCCATCCATCTGAGCGGAGAGCTCACATTTGAGTGCCTTAAAACCAAATTTCAATGCGAGTCACGGTAGTGAGCTTGTAGTCTGGATGTGAGAAGCTCCTTGCGCCCCATTTCCGTGAGAAGGGGAAAGGAGGCAAAAAACCACTAGCGTCTAACCATTCTATTCATTTACGTCTCGTCGACAGTGTTTCGTCCACTTGGATCCGTCCATTCTTGTAAAATTTGGCTCAATTCTCGTACGTATAATAGCGACCCGCGCATTAGAGCTTCTTTAGCCCCTCTCACCTGGCCGTGACCTTCGTGGAACGCAGCACCTTATTATCTGTGGACCCGTCTAAACCCATCCCTCCTGCTGCACTGGCGACGGCATTAGATAATCCGCCAGTCTTCGTACGCTCCCGCGCGACGCTGCGTGCGTACGTGCGAGCGCGCATTTCTCCACCGCAATAGTCGGCTAACCCTCCTTCCCCGCCAGTCCAGACCCAAATCACCCGTCACCGACGCACCAAGCAGCCACATGCCTAACTTGCGCAAGCCAGGTGCCGTTGCGGCCATGTCCCCCGCAATGGGCGACCCCGAATACTCCCCGTCAGCCTCCCGCCAAAGCCTCATGGCTGACGACGCGCAGCTTAGTCGCAGCTACTCGGGTTACCAGAACATCGCCGTCGCCACGCCGCCACAACCGCCCGATGCGCCGTCGCCGCACACGGCGGTGAACGTGAAGGTGGAGCCGATGGTGCTGTCGTTTCACAACGTCACTTACACCGTCGTCAAAAAGCGAACTCCAGGGGCGAGGAAGATAAAACCCGCCGCTCCCCCCGCCGGCGGAGGCGGCAACGACGCCAGGTTCGAGTCGATCGACTCGGACGACGAAGCGGGAATGGATGCGGGCGGCGCGGATGATGAAGTCCCGCCGGAGCCACAATCGGTATCGGAGGAGGGATTCACTATAAAAGCAAGAAAAAAGTATCGCACAATTCTGCAAGGCATTTCCGGCTTCGCGCGGTCGCAGGAGGTGCTTGCAATCATGGGATCCTCGGGCTCGGGGAAGACGACGCTTCTGGACGTGCTCGCGCATCGCATCGCGGAGGCGCGGCCGTCGCGCTTGCCGCAGAAGGAGGGCAAAGTGAAGAGCGGGCGCACGGGGAACGTGGAGTTGAACGGCGTGAATATGTCGAGCAGCATCATGCGGCGCATCTCCGCCTACGTGATGCAGGACGACCTGATGCACGCAACGCTCACGGCGCGCGAGACGCTCATGTTTTCCGCGGAGATGAACCTGCCGAGCGAGACGTTTTCGCACAAGGAGAAGCAGGAGCGCGTGGAGCGGCTGCTGGAGCTGCTGGGGCTGCAGCACGCCGCGAACACGATCATTGGAGACGAGGGCAGGCGGTAAGCGCGGGGTGAGGGGTGAGGGGTGAGGGGTGAGGGAGAAGGAAAGGGGTGGGGCGATATTCGTGCGCTGAGGAAAATTAGGAAGGTGGGTAAAGAACGGGTAAAAAACTGGCTGCGGAACAGAGTGATTAACTGAGGATTAGAGAGCGGCGAGTAAGCGTTGCGACTGACATTTAGTGTGCTGACACTCTTTTCCCCTCTCACGCACCCCGTTCCCACACCCCCCTCTTCTCTCCTCCCCTTTCCACCGCGCTTCCCCCGGTCCCTGCAGAGGCGTGTCCGGCGGAGAGCGCAAGCGCGTGGCGATCGGCGCGCAGATCGTGCACGACCCGAAGATCCTTTTCCTGGACGAGCCCACCTCCGGCCTGGACTCGTCCAACGCGTACCGCGTCGTCAAGATCTGCAAGGACATCGCCGTCGAGTCGCGCAGCATCGTGATCATGGTGATCCACCAGCCGTCGTTCCGCGTGCTGGAGCTGCTCGATCAACTGCTGCTCATGGCGACCGGGCATACCATCTACTTCGGCCCGCCTCCGGAACTCCCCGCGTTTTTCAACTCGTTCGGCACGCCTGTTCCGCAATTCGCAAACCCGACGGAGTTTGGATTGGAGCTGCTAGACCAGCTTGCGAACACGCCGACCGGGTTGAGTGAGTTGACGACATACGCGGATGAGTATCACCGCGGGAAGGACCTCACCGGCGGGGTTGGCGGCGGCGGAACGAGGCGCGTGCTTCCGACGATCCCTGACGACTGTGGATCGGCGGCGGCGTCGCCCGTGAGTCTTGGCGACGTGGTTCCGGAGGATTCGCCCGCAGCGGCGAAGGCGGCGGCGGCTGCGGCGGTGGTGGCGTCGAATCACAAGGGCACGCGGCAGTACGCCAACAGCTGGTTCCGCGAGCTCTGCGTGCTGACGGCGCGATCCGCGCTGATGATTCAGCGCAACCCCGCGCTGTACGCGCTGCGGCTTGTTCTGATCGCAGTGGCGGGATTCATGCTCGCGACGCTCTTCTTCCGCCCGGACTACGAGTAAGCCAGCCAGTTATTCGCTTCGTATTCAATTTCGTGCCGCTAAATTTCCGGCGCTTGTTGCTTCCGCCTCTCTCTACCGTTCTCCCTCCCCGCTCCCTCACCCCCCCTCTGTTTCCCATCGTTCTCATGGAAACTCTGGGCTCTTCCCTTTACCTGCGCGCAGTCCGACGGGGTTGCTGGAGCGACTGGCGTTCCTGTCGTTCATCGTCGCCGTGCTCTTCTTCTGCTCCGCCGACGCCACGCCCATCTTCATCTCGGTACGCCGCCTTCCACCGCTCTGAACCGCGCAGAAACCCGATACTCGACTTCCGCTCCGTGCAGGTTGCCCGCTCTCCCAGGACCAGCAACCCGCCAACTCCCACTCATTCTCTCCTCCGCTCCCCCGCCTTCCGCGTTTCTGCACTCTTTCCTCCCTCGCTTCACCCACCCCCCCACCATGCGTGTCCCCTACTACCCACCTCAGGAGCGGCACATATTCATACGCGAGACTTCGCACAACACGTACCGGTCGTCGACGTACGTGATAGCGACGACGATCGTGTACCTGCCGCTCTACTTCATGATGGCGCTCATAATCACGCTCGAGTCGTGGTGGTGCGTCGGACTCACGGGCGGCTTCTCGGGCATCTGCTTCTTCTGCCTCATGTGCTTCATGTGCCTCTTTACCGGGAATGCTATCGCCACGCTCTGCTCCTCCTTCTTCACCAAGTGAGTCGAGTTTTCGTCTATACCGCGTACGGGTGGGTGTTGATTTCTTCCCCGCCCAGCTTCTTCATATTTCGCTTTTGCCCCGAGATAGTGATGATTTTGTTTGGAAGTCTCCCCGCACTGATTTTTCTGCTTCCTTTTTTTTTTTTTTTGTTCACCCTCTTCCTCGCTCGGCGCGCAGCGTGATTCTGGCGTACGCGATGGTGATCAGTCTGATGGCCTACTTCACGCTGGTGTGCGGGTTCTACATCCAGCGCACGTCCATCCCCAAGTTCTGGATCTGGCTGCACTACATCTCGCCCATGAAATACGCATACGAGGGCCTCGCACTAAACGAATTCGACAGGTGCGGCCCCTTTACCCCCTACCCCCCTGCGTGAGCCTTCGACCACCCTTGTCCCCTTTGCGGCCGCCTTTCTCCCTGATTGTGCTTTCACCTCGCCCTCACCACACATCACATGCTCACACACTCATATCAGCCATACCCATACTCATGCTCACATATTCATCCATCTCACTTACATTCTGCTCCCCATGTGCTCTGCTGCCCCTTATCCACGCACCTTCCCTTCCTCCAACCACCAGGGAGGACGGAGCGTGCTACCTGACAGTGGAGCAGATTTTCACGGTGAAGCCCTTCGACGAGTACTTAAACGCCACCAAGGCCAAGAGCGCCTTGGACGTGTTTGTCCCCATGCTCGCAACCAACGCGACGCAGGGGCTGAATGAGTCGAGCTGCATCCTGTACGGCCCGCGCATCGCGCATGGGTTCCTGGAGATCAACCAGCTGGGGAAATGGGAATGCATGGCGGTGCTGCTGGGGCTGGCGATGTTCATCCGCCTGTGCTACTTCTTCGTGCTGTGCTCGATTTCCAAGGAGAAGAGGAAGTGAGGTGGCAGCAGGCGCAACAATACTCAGTTGAGGTTGCCAGCTTACGGTACCACTCTTCATTGCTGCTGCTGTCCTCCCAAGGCCACTGAGTAACAGCAAGCCCAGTGCTGTCCTAAGTGCTTGCGTGTGCCGCACGCACCCAGGATCGTGCAAACAACCATACATAGACTCACCATCTACTGGCGTAGTTAATAATACTGGACTGATCACCTTACTGTTAGGCAGAGTGGGGGATGGGCGAGTAAGTAGTTGGTGATGGTTTCGCCTGGTATAGGTATTTAAATGGGTTGGTTGGGAACTGCGTGCCTAGAGGTTCGCCCGGAAACCCATCTGCACATGTTTCCGTGCAGTTGAGTGGCGAATAATGGTGCTGCTATCTTTGACACCTTGTTAGGATGAAATCCTGTTAGGTGCATTCACCAGATGCTTGTTCCTGTTTATGTGTTTTCTCATATTTGATTGAATATTAAGGAAATGCATTTTCCTTCCTCCTCACGACTGCTTCTGAACACAACCAAAGCTCCACACAACCCTCCTAGACTCTTCTTCACCTCCATTTCACTTTCAACTATCTTCACCATGATTCAGTTCGAAGTGCTTCCCTGCTCCAGCCTGGACATTTGATGGGAGGATACATAATTAAGAAGGTCAACCCCGTATCTATCCTCGTGGTCTTTTGTAACGATGCAGGTACCGTAGATATACCGAAGATACTCGTTTTTCCTCTTCTATTTCCACTGGATGCAAACTATCTGAAATAGCTGTGTGTGGGTGCGCAAAGGCTTCATATAACGGGTCAGCGTAGCGAGTATATCCCAAACCAACCTCTCACCGTTTTGGCCTAGTGATTGACGGTTTGGCTGGGTTAATGAGGTTCGGGGTTGAGGCCTGGGAAGCAAGACATGGCCTTTCTAAACCAGCCCGAACCGAACCGAACCCAATGTCCTTGCAAGTACCGCCCTGGCCCACATTGCGAGCACTTTCCTTCATCAAGCGGGATGTGCATTCCGTACTTCTACACACCACGTGGCATTTTGGGAGTAGCAGGAACGCGGGCCGCGTGTGACCGTCCTGGCGACTCGCACCCCAAGACGACGCTGCGGCTGACTCGTACCAGCAGCTTTAGGCAGAGCAAGCCGACATCGTCGCTTCCTCGTTTCACTCGAGGCCTGTCGGACGCCATCGCTGAGCAATCAGAGCCTCGTCGCTAGCTCAGTGCGGCGGCGCGGGCAGCTTTAGCACTACCAGCCACGCCCGAGTAACACAGAATCTTCCCCTCTTGGTATTCTTCCGTGTGGAGTGCCCAGCGGGACCCGTGCGGGAAATCGGTTCGTCGCTTCGTTGGATTCTCGGAGAGCTTTGAACGCCGACCAGTGCCGGAGCCATGGCGGCGTTGTCGTCGCAGCGCGAAGGCGGCGGCGCGAGTTCCCAGCGCGAGACGGTTCGTCTATTCAGCGCGTGGTTCTGCCCGTTCGCGCAGCGCGCGTGGATCGCGCTGGAGGCCAAGGGCGTCAAGTACGAGGTGCGAGGAGGTGCGAGGAGGTGCGAGGTGCGAGGTGCGAGGGGAATCAGTGGCTCGAGTCGAGGTCTTCCAGGTTCCAAGTAGCACCAAATATGCTGCTACTCTTCGAATCGGCCTCTTGGTTTGACAGATCGTACGATGACGAGACACTTGCCTCTCTGCAGGTTTCATTTCCCCGCTTTCTTCTGCGCGTTCCCTCCAGCCCCGTGCTGCCCCGCTTTCCCCCCATCCATCGTCCTCTTGCTCCCCCTCGCTGTGCCCCGCTCGCTGTGCCCCCCTTGCTGTGGCCCCCCTCTCTTCGCCTCCCCCTCTACGTCCCTCGCCCTGCGTCCCAATCCACTTGCTCCCCCAACCCGTACCCACCACTGTTCCCCCAATGTTTCCGCACCTTCCTCTCCGCACCTTAACGCGTCCCGCACACAGTTTCTTGAGGCGCCTCAAGAGCGACCATTGCCCTCCTCCCCACTCCTCCCTTCCCTCCATACGCCATATGAGGTGCTTCAACAATCCTCCTCGATTTCAAACCCTCCCCGTTCCCTCTCATCCTCATCCCTCCACTCCTCCACCAGTACGTTGTGGCGGATCCATACGCGATATAAGCTGTCTCAGTAATCGTCAATTTCACCCCGCATCTCCCCAACTCCTGCACCAGTAGAGGTGGGCCCATACCATACGGCAAGCCAGCACAGCCCATGGTCGTGAACCCACGTGGCCTTTTGAGTCGACTCTGAAGTCATACCGGGCTCTCAAGAGCTCCTCCTCCCCTCCCCCCTTCCTCCTCCCCCCGGTCCCCCCCTACACCAGTACGTGGAGGTGGATCCATACGCCAAGCCAGCAGAGCTCATGGCCGTGAACCCGCGTGGCCTCGTGCCGGCCCTGCTGCACATCACACAGCACGGCGAGCAGCAGGGCGAGCAGCAGCAGCAGCAGCGGTGCCTGTACGAGTCGAGTGTGATCATGGAATACATTGACGAGGCCTTCCCACCTTCGCCTCTCGCTGCTGCTGCTGCTGCTGCTGCTCCCGGGAGCACGGGTGTGCATCTGATGCCACGGGATGCGTATGAGAGGGCGCAAGTGCGCATGTGGATGGACTTTGTCAATCGCAAGATCGTTCCCACCTTCTACCGGTGAGCAGCACCAACCGCTTTTCGAGGTGCCCCGAGAACGTGAGTGCCATCCGTTACATCCTTTCCCTGCCTCAGTGTCCCTGTTTTATTTTCCCTGCTTTATTCTCCCTCTATGATTTTCCCCTGCTCCACTTTCCCTGCTTGATGATCCGTGCTTGATTCTCAAGCCACTTCTTTTCCTCTCTTTTTTTTCTCATTTTACTCTCCCTCCCTCCCTAGCTCACTCCTGCTCTCAGTCATTTTGCTCCAGTCCACACGCTGACTACTCATGCTGAGCACTCAAGTAACAGCATGTAGTCAACTCAGGCCTTGAGTTGACTATCACCAACAAACAAGCATGAAAACCAAACGCTCAGATGTCATCTCTCTCCACCAATCGTGAAATGAGGGTGTTTTTGAGACGTCTCAGAAAACCAAACGCACAAATGTCATCTCCCTCCACCAGTCTGTGCCCGACTCTACCCCCTCCTCCTCTCTCCCCTTTTCTCCCATTCTTCCCGCTCCCTGACCGCTCCCACGCTCCAGCTATCTCCAGAAGCAGAGCCGGGAGGAGCAGGAGGCAGAGAGGGCGGCGCTAATCAGCTGCTACGAGCAGCTAGGAGCAGCCATGGAGACCATCAGCCCAGAAGGGTCTTTCTTTCTTGGCCAACAATTCTCCCTCATGGTGCTCTCTCTTGCCTATCCCTCGCTCATAGTGCTCTCTCTTACCTCTCCCTCGCTCATGCTTGCTCTTTCCTTTGTCCTTGCCTCCGATATTGCCATCCTGGACGGTGTGCCTTGTTTATACTCCTCCCAGTGTTCCCTGTTTCCGAATGCACTTGCTACTACCACTCATCCATCCCCTGCTCAACCAGCTCCAGTAAGCTCCTTTCCACTGTCACCCTTGCACCCTTTCCAGCACGCTTGCCCTCTCCTTACCATCGACCTCATACTCCTACCTGACCTGTCAACCACATCCCTGTCCTGACCTGTCAAACACATCCCTGCCCTGACCTGTCAAACACATCCCTACCATCAATCCTACCTTCCCTTCCCCTCTACCTGCCATGCCCAGGCATATCACACACTCATCTTCGTTATTTTCCACCCCCGGTTGTCTGCTTGCTATATATCCCATCCCATGCACGCCGGGCCTCACATGTGCATGTCATGTCAGGACATCTACCTTCCCCCGGGGTGCTACGTCACGACTTACTCCAGTTCTAACGCAGCAACTTCTCCCATGTCCACGCACGTTGCGCACTTACCTTCTTCCTTTCCAAACCCTAACCCCCATGCTCTGCTTGCGATATTCCACGCACCTATTCCATGTGTGCACGCCTGGACGGACGCACGTGTGCATGGCAGGACATCTCACTCGCGCCCTGGGTGCTACGTCACGACATTCTCCGATTCTACCGCAACTTCTCCCTCCCCTCGCACGACGAAGCCTCTCCTGCCCTCCGCCGTTTCTGGCTGTGGGAGACGGCGATAGGAGCTCACCCAAGCGTGAGTGCCACTCTGGCGGACCGTGATAGTTTGAGGGAGATCTACAAGCGGTATGCGGACAACACGGCGACGTCAGAGGTTGCTGTGGCTATCAATAAAGGCACTGCACTCCCATGATACCGTATGGTGTACATAAAAAAGACTACCGGACTACCGTATGACTGAGTATATGGTTGCAACCAACATTTTACGAGGATTGCTGTTGCCTTGCGTGAATTCGATTACTTCCTAATTTCTGCTACTGTATGTCATGCTATCTCTGAAAAGACGACAGTCAAAACCCAATCCAGGCACGTGTACGTATGGTACTTGCCGTAGTGCATCATCACTGGCATTGTTGCACATGTTTACACCCTGCCATGCTATATGGTACATTGTTGCAGATGTTTACACCCTGCCATGCCGTATGGTACATTGCAGAGTTTGGCTGTCGCTGTTACAATATGGAATAGTTGAATAAACATTCCTGAGTAACAAATCCTTAACGCGAAGATTACTGCAATGAGGACGAAAGACCAAGCGTCAAGACAGTTATCGAGACAGTTACAAGCATAAAGAATTTGAAGTGCAAAGCGCGGGAAATGTTCAAACGGTTACCGGACCGCGTACGGTTACCGAACCGCACGGTTGCGATGCTGCATCTAGATTAGCCCTAAGGGGAATGTACCCCCTCAGAGTACATGGCTAGCTAGGACCTTTCGTATTCCACTGTATTCCTATATAAACCCCTGTACCGCATTGTAATAGTCACTTCTGTCGAGATTCAAATCTCCTTCTACTGATAGAGTCCGTACCCGACATTACCTAGCAATCTTCCGCTGCTACACTCCGTGCGATCAACCTGAGGCGATCCTATAAGACGGTTCATATTGTATCATGGTATGAGAGCCACTCAGGATTCTTCGCACTACCACCTTTGATTCAAATTCAAATTCAAGGTGGCGTTCGGTACGCGATCCCGCCGAAACAGGGCTGGAGGATCTGGCGGACAAGCGGCCAACACTGCCGAAGCCCCCGCCAACCCTACCACGAACTCCGCGGGAACTACCACCGTCAGCAATGCGCTTCTGGAGCAACTTATCCAGCGGATTTCCATGCTGGAATCAGGGATTCAACAACTGAAGAATGTCAACCCTGAAACCGCTCAGCAACCCGATCAACCGGCCACTCCAACCAAGGAACCGAGCCCAACCACCTTTGATCTCGGGTCAAATTCTTCTGCTCCAACAGTTCCTCGTCCAAGTGACGAAGTCGTGCTCGCAGCTCAGAACAAGTTTCTGACTATCTCCAAGATTCGAACCAGCACCGTGTTTAGCGGGCGAGATTTTTACACCTGGAGTTTCGAGCTCGAGCTACTTTTGCAAAACGCGCAAAATTTCTGCTACTTCGACGGAAGCTACGCTGGCCCTCCCAGCGATACTAACGACGCAAAGGCTCAGTATTACAACGAGTCGCTCATGGCGTATAGCGTCCTACTCCGCAACATGGCGCCGACCGAACAACTCGGCATTCGACCATACAAAACTCACCAAGCTCCCGCCATGGCCGCCTGGAACTACCTCAACAAAATTTATCAGCCCAAGGACTCTGTGTCCTCCAGCCGCTTGCTCCAGCAACTCATGGAAGTCAAGATGGCGCATGGCGAGAAAGCAAATTCCTACATCAACCGCTGCCGAAGCGTCTGCGATCAACTTCTGAAGCTCGGAAACACAATTTCCGAAGACATGTTCGTTACCATCGTGCTTCGAGGGCCGGGACCACACTGGAATCCCTGCAAGGCACTTCTTCGCCAACAAGGGATAATATCCGAAGCACACCTCTGCGCTACTCTGCTACACGAGCAGCGCGACATGGACTTCAACCAAGAAAAGGGGGCACGCCATGAACAAATCGCTTTCTACTCCAATCGGGACCAACGGAGAAATCGCGACACACGACCACGACAATACTACTGCAAGAACTGCAAAGCCTTCGGTCACTCAACCGAACGCTGCCGATCCGGACCACGACACGATTCCGCGCCGCGCAACAACTCTGCCTACGGCCAAGATCATATGCGCCAGGCAAACCGACCGTCTTCGGACCATCGGTCTGCCCCGCGCCAGCCGCCACAATTCGACATACACGCAGTTCGTGATGTCATGGGCAACATGGCGATGCGCATTCCCCGGCGAACACGCCGCACCAATCGGCGACATCTGCGACATGTCTCTCCTCCCCCGCCAGGGAACGAAGTCCAACCCAACGACTACAACAACCCCTTCACGCAAGACGGGGAATTCGTCTCCGACGAATACGAACAAGATTGGGACCTGCCGATACCCCTACTGGAGTCGCCACCGCATGACGAAGACTTCCTCAACTCTTACAACACATGGTAATTGTCCCTCTCGGCCAAGCATCGCGCGAACTCTTACAACACATGGTACCTCGACAGCTGCTGTGGGCAGCACATGGTGGGCTCCGAGCGCTACATCTCCAACGCAAGCGCAATCCTCCAACCCACCGTCGTTACGGTGGCCAACAATCAGCAACTCCAAGCACGAGCATGCGGCATCGTCGTCCTAAAGGCACGCGACAGCGGCATTCACATCACACTCAACGACGACCTCATCGTACGCAACCTTCGTTACAATCTCCTTTCCTACGATCAGCTCGTACAAAGTGGAGTGCTCATGACGGCTGACCTTGAGACACGCGACATTCTCATGCATTGGAAGGACCACAGCAACTTAGACAGTGAGCCACGCTACATCGGCAGAGCCCACTCCGAAGATGGCGTTTACATCCTCGATTTCGACATCCCCGACTGCAGCGCTGACTCAGGGGACCTCATCGACCTGCAGCCTCAAGATATCAAGTGGAACCGCAAACCCAAGCACCCAGACGAACGCCCATGGATCAAGCATCACGCTCATCCACGGGAAATCGATCTGCACGCACCTGGACCTGATGGTTTCTCCCGCAACTGCCGTACCCCAACTGCCTTCAGAACAGCCACAACAGACACAATAGAAACAACAGACAGAGCTCTCTACAGAGGAACAGCACCAGCTGAAGAATGAGAATCCTCCGCTGCAGCAGCACGACGCCTCGCAGCCGCAACAGCACAGATTAATACACCTCCCGAGCAGATCACTGAGGGCGCTGGACCAGTCATTGCTGGCATGGACATCATTGAGGAGGCAGAATGGCAGACACCTCACCCAACTGGCATGCGCGACGGAGAACTTGCAGCAGCACTCACTATCTTCCACCCGCGCAGGACCCGCACAGACTCCACAGTCCACGATCGCCTAGATCTACTCACACGCTACATGGGACCTGGTGCACACGACGCAGACAACAACCCTCTCCCACTGACCTGGGAAACTTACCACGTCCAACACCCCAGGTCCCATCGCACTGTCATGAATAAGAAAGAAGGTTTGTATAGCAAAACCTAATTGGGCTGTACCCCATAAGAAGTGCCCCACTACAGCCTAGAGCATATTACTGCATAGTTCTGACACACCCCCATAGGCAAAGTGGGGGACAAGCAAGAGAACGAAGCAAGGTCAAGCTCAGGGTGGATCACAACGTCACCACGCATTCTGAGCACAAGTAAATGGCCACAAGGCCAGTTCACATGCAGAGTTATGCACAAAGGAGAACAAGCAGTACAATGATCACAACCTAGCAAGTGTAAGCATGCAGGTACATGTATATAGATCACAGTACAAACAAAGTCAAGAAGTGAGCAAGTGAGGCCATGTAGGCACAAGGCCTAGAACAGTACAGAAACGCTGATGATCACAAGGCTGAAGTGCCTTGGTGAAGATATCAGCAGTGTTGGCCTGAGAGGCCACGTAAACAAGACGAAGCTGACCACGCTGCTGCAACTCTCGAGCAAGGAAGTAGCGCAGAGCGATGTGCTTTGTTCTGTGCTCCAGTCTGTGCTCCTAACACAAGGCAATCATGGCCTTGTTGTCGACGTACAGAACTGGAGGAGAACGAGGCGGCTCTCCCAAGTCGGTAAGCAGGTAGGTGAGCCAGCATAATTCCTGTGCAGCCATGGCCCCTGCGTAGATCTCATCCTAACAACTGGAGCTGAGAACAGAAGACGAGCGAGTAGACCGCCAAGAAACAAAGCCAGAGCCAAGGCTGAAGGTGTAACCTTGAGACGACCGCTGCGTAGCCAGGTCGTCAACCCAAGAAGCGTCTGAGTGACCAGTGAGGACAACGTCGCCCCGTCCTCCAAGCATGAGCCCCATGCCCGATGTACTGCACAAGTAGCTCCAGCACCTCCAGTAGCTCCAGCACCAGCAGTACCTCCAGCAGCTCCAGCTCCAGCAGCTCCAGTACCTCCAGTACGAGCACCTTCGGCAGCTCTAGCACCAGCAGGATATCCAGCAGCTCCAGCTCCAGCAGTACCTCCAGCTCCAGCAGCTCCAGTACCAGCAGTACCTCCAGCTCCAGCAGCACCTCCAGCGGTAGGCCCCCCAGCTCCAGCAGCACGGCTCCAGCGCCGAGCAAACCACTCGCGCAGCTGCGGTGGAGAGAGTGGCTCCCGCCGTGACAAGACACCCGTAGGACCTCCAGAGGACAACGTACCTCCAGGCTCAGCACGCCCAGACTCAGCACCCCCAGACTCAGCACCCCCAGGCTCAGCACCCCCAGGCTCCGCACGCTCAGGCTCAGCACCCCCAGGCTCCGCACCCTCAGACTCAGCAACCCCAGGCTCAGCACCCCCAGGCTCCGCATGCTCAGGCTCAGCACCCCCAGGCCCTGCACCCGCAGGATCAGCACCCCTAGCAGCACCAGAGTCGACAGCTACCTCGACAGGCTCGACATGGTCTACCTGGGACACACCTGAGGGGGCAGGACCCTGAGGGGGGAGGGGGTCTACCGGAGGAGGACCTGGTGCTAGGAAGAGCGGCGGGGGGGGGGAGAGGGGCAGTGCGGTAGGGAAAGAGACGGTAGTAAGGAACCGACTCGTCAAACGTGAAGTCCTGAGAGGACAGAACACGACGCGAGGTGGGGTGGTAAAACTGCCAACCAGGCGCGTCAGGGGGGAAGCCAAGGAAGACGCAGGGAACAGCACGGGAGGACAGCTTGTCTGCGGAAGAATCGCGGAC